ACGGCGAACGGTGCGATCTTCCGAGCGGCCGCTAAGCTTTCTTCCGGGACGCGGGCAAAGATGCGGAGGTCCTCCTTCGGCTGCGCCTGCGGCTGATCCTCGGCGGGGAGTGTGGCCTTCGGGCGGGCAGAGCTCTGGCAGCTCTGGCCGCTCCGGGTCGCCGCAGTGGTGTTGCCCGCCATCGGTGCGACGACAGCCGCCCAACTCCGGGCCGCTATTGGGCTTGTCTCGTGATTGATCAGTCTCTTGAGGGTTTGAATGACATAGGCAGTGGCTTCTTTCGCGATCTGCTTTCTAGAACCGTCAAAGCTGGCGACAACGCTGTCGACGGACCGTGCAATGGTCAGAAAGACGTCTTTCCGTGCCTCGTACTGTCTAGCTTCTTCTGCAAGGGCTGTCAAGACGGACCCTGTGGCAGATCCGCTCGGAGCAGATGCGGTAGAGGCTGCGGGCCCCTCGGCCGAGGTAGGGGCGTCGGTGGTGGCATCAAGCTGGCTTCCCGTTAGGCTGGGCCGGGTCGGCTGTGCCTCGGCGTCGCGGCGTCGCTTAGCTCTTGAGGTGGGGTTCGGCTCCGGAGGTGTCCCGGAGCCTGGTTCGGGGTCGGCTTGGTCGGCCGACATCAGTCCGGTGCCCGACGGCGGCTGTGAGGCCATCGCGGATGCGGGCTCCGGCAAGGGGAGGTGAAGAGTTTTCGGCTGTTAGTAATTTGGTGGTAGGCTCACTCATTCACTAACAGCAGATGCCAAGAAAAATTAGGCGAGAGGGAAGTTGAACTCGTCGATTGATGCAGTGTCTCCGTGACATGCGGAGTGAATGGGGTGGCTAACTGCCGACCCAGCGTAGACTGCTTCTTGCAACGAACATTTGACTGTCGAAGAGCCTGGGCCGCGGTTACGGCGCTTGCGACGGCTTGGTCGTTACCCGAATTTGTCGCGATAGAGTTTGAAACCTGATTGCCACGTTCCGTGAATTCCTTCATAGCACCAATCAATCGCTCGTGAGTCATTTGCATTTCGCTCTCAAACTCCTTAGTGAAGACCAAGCCCCGGTCTTTGTATTCCAAAACGAGGTTCGAGAGGATCTGTTCTTTGCCGGGTTCGGGGGTGTAGGCACACGCGGCTGTCCAGTCGGGGATGCATGTGATAGAACTGGGCTCATACGGCTCGGGGTCAAGAATGTCGATTTTGTTGTATCTCTGTGTGGTGCTGCTCATCGTGAGTGTTTCATCTGGGTGCCCCCCAAGAAGCACCAATGCGATCACTCGGTTGATGGTTTCGTCAATGGACCTTGCAACATCTGACTCATTGCTGTGAAGCACAATCGAGGGATCTGGTCTGCCAGTGTCTAGACCAGCCAATGCCTCAAAGTCGGCATTGTCTAAAAAGTCATCTGCGACATCTGTATAGTATGCGGCATTGCGGTATTTGAGAGCCTTGGGTAGCTCAACCTGATGGCAAGACTCGCTGGCTTTGTGCAAGTCTTTCGGATGGTTGCGAGGTGCGACTTGGATGATGGGAAACGGCGCGTCGTTACGGATTGCGATGACAATCGGCGGCTTCTGCTGCTGATCTTCCTCCATTGCATCCGACATCGTGTCTTGGAGGATGATATGGCTAGCTACTCGATGAAGTCAGTTGCAGAAAAAAAACATCGTGGAGTTGAACGTATAACTGACGAGACACTTCTATTGTGTAGGTTTTCAGTACGGCTGATGGACATGGAGGAGATGATGGACAGGCGGGTGATGGCGAGATTCGCAGGACAACCAACGGCCTCAGCGAAGGACGCGTGGATCAAGGCGCGAGATCAACCAAGGTATGAAGTGATAGTGTGAGGTCCACCCCTACAACAATACGTATATATTCGTTTAGGGCTAATGGCTGTTCTCTGAGTCTGGCTGCCTTAGGTAGGTACACGACTGCAAAATCTCGTCCGGTAGCGACTTCCCCTGATGATATCAACCACCTCATTCAAGAGCTTGCCGTATCTCACGTGACCACAGCAGAGGATGTGATTGACCTGGTCAATGGAGAATAAAGCAAAATATGTTCAACGGTATGAAGTTTGACAAATGACTACAACCTGCTTCCCAATGCTCTTTTCTTTGTGAGTGTACTAATATATTTGCCATTTAGGTCCTGTACATCGCGTGTTTCTAGCAACTCCTCAAGATGACCAAAAACCCAGTCAGTAAGGTACTAGGTAGGTAGTCGAGGTTGTCACTCCATTTCCGACCTTGATGTTGACCGGTAGTTCCATCACTTTGACAGCCGAACCACCTCAGGCCGTGCCCAGCTGGATAGTGGAGATCTAGACGGGGTGAAAGTGGGTGGTGTGTCACGAGTTATGGCACGCAGCAATGGGCATATGGAGTGTGGTAAAGTGGCTTCACCTATCAAAGTGGAAATAGACAAAAGAGAAAGGTCTATATACGGGATGTAAGTGATATACACGTGATACAGCACGTGACGGGCACTTTGTGGGTTGTGGTTCTCATCCTTGTTACGTGACATGGTGCCTTCCGTTTTCTGAGTCTACTGGACGATTTGATGGGCTTTCATTGGTCTGATTAAACAGCCCCAGTTAAACGGATTTCTCGCTTAAGGCACCTTGATACGCTTAGGTAATCCGCTTTAGAGATACTGCAGTCATGTTCCTGTGGAGGTCGCCGTGGTTCTCCAATCAAACTCCTCATTCCATTCTTCAAGTCAACCTTGGGTGCCTTACCTTACCTAGGAAACTTACCTTACCTTGACTCAAGTTCGGAAGGGGACTTTCATGCATCCCCTCTAAGACGTTCAATCGGATATGTCAGACAGTGTGACCAGAGGAGACAGGCGACGTCGATTCGCCAAGGTTAACATCCTTTGGACGTCCTTGGCGACATTTTTGGTAGCTGATGATCTCGACAGGCCTGCGACTTGTGTCGCATGAAGAAGGTCAAGTGTGACGGCGGTAGACCCAAGTGTACTAGATGTCTGGATCTGTCTCTCATGTGCAACTATGCCGACGTTGTTAAACCATTCAAGCGGCGGACGCGGTCCAGTAGGGCGCAGGCAACAGCTGGAACCTCAGTGTCCGGATCGCCTGATGATGGCTCGACTCGCGCAGAAGTATGCGTCCCAAATCATGACAATTTACAGGTAGCACCCGTTTCTCAAGAGCCCTCGTCCGAGCTGCACAGCAGCGGCAGCACTCCTCCTTCATACGGAACGCGACCCTCTCCTTCTATAGGTTGGTTTGAATCAGAGATCAGTGGTTGTACTAGGGAAAATGTTCGTTGTCATTGACGATCTATCTCTTCAAGACTCTCTCATGGGTGCAGGACGAGACTTGAGATATTTTGGTACGAGAGGTCTCTATTCCGAACCAAATGCAAAAGTTGATTCCCTCTAGGCCCATCTTCCGCTATCGCATTATTTCGAACTCAACCGCCACCGTTCGACGAGCAAACAGCATCGGCCCGGCGTCCAAATACCCAGTCGGGCTCAAAAACAGGACCTTGGTCTCTATGGACTCACCCCAAATTACAAGGAGTCTTTGAGAAACGGGTTCACTGCCATCTGCCGTCGTGGCCTGAAGCTCTTTCACTGGTTACGGCCTTCTTCGAGGAAAAATACATGGCTTTACCGCTCTTCCACCCACCTGCCTTTGTCGCACTGCTTGGTCAGCAATATTCTGGAGATTTCGATGGTGGCCCTGCCTGGTGGACCTCATTCAACGCTGTTCTGGCAATTTCTCAAAGGAGACGCGTTGAACAAGGGATGTCTGACGACAAGGAACTGGCCTGGGGCTATGCGGCCAACGCACTCGACACGATTCTGGACATACTCATGAGGGCCACTCAAGTCATGTCGGTCCAAGCTCTGCTGATATTGGCCTGGTTCTTTCTGGGAACTCCCAATCCACAGCCCAGCTTCATGTTGGTGGCTAACGCCATTCGACTCGCACACACCATCGGGTTACACAGAAAGGAGTGCAGCTCGTCGCTGAGCCCTATAGAGAAAGCGGCGAGAGCCAATGTATTCTGGCTTGCTTTCTCTCTGGACCGAGAGTTGAGTCTCCGGACCGGGCGACCTCCTGCGCAAGATTTCGGTGGCTTTGAGGTTGATTTGCCTGATTCACTGTTGCAGCATGAGTTCAGCACCCATGCTCCTTCCAACGGGCTGGTCAACATTTTCATAGCCGCTTCTCGCCTGGCTGTCATCCAAGCTAAACTATATTCCAAGATCTATCTTGGAGAAGGGGTTAACCCAGGCGTTATTTCAGATGCTACGCAAGCACTAAACCAGGACTTAGATGACTGGCGAGCGGAGTTTTCGACAGTCTTGGATCTGGAAAGTCATCCCGAGCTGATCAACTACTCTTCTGTTCTACGCTTGAACTACACCTATCGACATTGCGTGATTCTGGTTCATCGGGCACAGAGCGAATATGACTGGAGGTCTTTGGCGTCGTCGGAGCGGTCATCTACAGTTTTGTCAGGCCAGGTCACAACCTCTATTCAGAACTCTGTGGATGCTGCTAGAGCAATTCTCCAGCTGGATGTACTCGTCCCGGATACCTGGAAAAGCTTGACTTGGTAAGTAATCACATTGTGCGAACCGTGTCGCAATCTTTACGAACAATTGCTAATTATTCCTACTAGGGACGTGATTCCGATCAGTGTCACTGCCATCCTCATCTTGTCCCTCTATACTTTGCGTCGGCCCCGCGCAGCAAACGTCGCCGAAGACCTCGATTCTGTCTCAAAAGCTCTGAAGCGTCTTGCCTTGCTCGAACTTTCTGAACCTGGCTCATATTTGACTCCGGTACGAACGGTGTGTCAGGATGTGTACAGGGCTGCTCTAGGAGCACTCAATACGTCCAACAGCGCATCATCGCAACCAGGAGATACGACCTTTGACCGCGGCCAGACTGCCGCTCACGGCAAACAAATCCACCAAGAGAGCACTTCGGACACCATGCGAGACTCTTCTCAAGTGGCTTTATCAGATCTTTCTCCCCTACTCGAGCCTCATCACGAAGCAGCTTTGAACCCAAGCAACGGAGTCAACGGAACTAACTCTCTGCCATTTGACCAGAATACCCTCGATTCTTGGGGTGTTCCTTGGGGATTTGAACATCTTTTGGGAGATGATACTTCAATGTTCCTCTGATAAGCTAAAGTGTGCCCCAGGCTATTTGCCATCCCGGACGAAGATACATACAACAAGCTTCATGAGATCCACTCGGGCTTCGACCTTCCTCTTCGACCTGTTGGCTCCTCCCACCCAATTTGAGTCGTTTCAAACTTGAACGCGGGAGCCAGAACTCTGATGTCCTCGTCAAGGCCGTAGTTCCGTCCACTCATGTCCCAGAAGTATTCGGGATGGGTGAAGATGTCGGGGCGAATCTTCTTCCAAGACTGGTGCGTCTTACCAACCAGAGTGACCATATCGTCGTAATGTCGCGGGCTGAAATCGGGATCCCGGGCTCTGAGCTCCCGTTGCTGCTCTTCGGAGTAGAGGCCTAGGTTGTAGTACCAAATGTTGTACTGCGTCAAGCTGATGTCAATATCAAACGTGACATCCTCTGATGTACGAGCAATCAAGGCCTGGATGGCAGCCGTAGCACCGACCAAGCCTGTTTGGTAATCAGAGTTGGCTGGAAATTCGTTAGCAAATGTATTGTGCACCGATGAGTCCGAATGACTTACGCAGAAGCGGGACAACAGCCTCATCTAGGCCGAGAAATTTGCCTTGCAGATGAGAAAGACCAACCAAGCAGTCACTAATCTGCTGCCATCCAGATCGATGAGCTAGTGGCCCTTTGAATCCGTAACAGTTCTCCCGCATGTAGATCAGGCTGGGATTCAACTCGCGTAAGGAGGTCGCATCGAATCCCAGTCTCTTTAGAGCACCTGGACGATATCCATCTACTAGGATATCGGCACCTTTTACGAGTTCAGAAAAAGTCCTCTTGCCATCTTCCGTCTTAAGATCAATGTTGGCATCCCGTTTTCCCGTCTGCAAGTCTGGCATCGTCGCCCCAAAGTCGGGCAGCTTATCGCATGACACGCGGAGAACATCGGCTCCGAGGACGCTCAGCATCTTGGACACCGCCGGGGCCGCAATGACCCGGGAAAAGTCAATGATCCTGATGCCCGCGAGCGGCTTGAACTCCTGCTCATCTCGCACTTTCGGCCACTCTTTCCGCGGAGCGGGCACTCGGGTCATGTTCCAAAGTGGTTCCTTGGACATGATCTTGCCTTGCTCGCTGGAGAAGAATTCTTCCGGCGTGTAGCACACCACACCTGCTTGATTGTACTTCTCGTTGGCGACCTCTTCGATTTCTTTGGAATGCCAACGTGCGACTCTCTCGGCGTAGATTTTGATGGCTTCTTCGGGGGTCACGTCGACATCTTCGACACCCATCATCTCCATTGTTGGCCCAGCGTTCATCGACCCGTGCAAGTGATACCATCTGCCGTCCTTGGTTTTGTAGACATTTGTTGCGTACCGCCTGATGGGCTTTGAGGACTGGTGAATGTCCATCTTGGCAATCTCTGCTGCCATTTGCGGGTTCTGAAGAAACTGCTTGCCACCGACCGTTGGCAGCAGAACGGATTCCAGGAAAAGCGTCGCGGCGTCGGTGTTGACTTGGACGTCTTGATACTCTATTCCGTACCTCTCTGCCGCAGCGACGTTAGCTGCGGTGGCTAACAGGGCGGTTAGAGAAGCGGATGACTCGGTGATTTTCAAGGGCGTGAGGACGAATGGTTTCGCATCATCTCCAAGAAACTTGACTTTTTCAGCAGCTTTCTTGAAAGAGCCTGGGAGACGCAAGGCGGGGTCGGGCAGCAAAACATCATTGAGAATCCGAGATGCCTCGGAAAAGACTGAATAGTCTGCCATGGTGCAACCTGTGGTGAAGTACGAATGATCTCAACAATATCGTCGTTACTACCAAAGTTTTAGGAAGTTATATGACCAAGATCGGCCCTATATACATGTCCTTTGTGCGCCTCGGAAACTCCCTAGGCCAGGGATGTTGGGGACAGCTTCATGTCGTCAGTGCCACAGCTGGTCAGAACTCCGGCAGATTCGCCTCTCCGATGTTTCGGGCTCGGCCCGATGTAGCAATCGTCTGTCGGCAGATGAAAATCCACAGACGACGGGACTAAGAAAACATCTCCTGGTCATGCGGAGTATCTGGCGAGTCTCTCATTCGACCCGCTCACATTTCTAGCTGGGACTCGTTTCACCGGAGGCATGTTGGTGGGTCTTGGTGCCGGAGTTTCGCGTTCGGAGTTTTGGTCACGGAGTTTTGAGCTCCAAGTGTGACATCAACGCCCGGCACAGCTTCCGTCGTTGATCTAGACCTCCCCACTCACATCGGAGAGTGGCATTCGGTTTCGGATCTAGTGGTGGGCAATAGTTATCTATATATGAGGAAGCCGCCCAATATTTACTCATGGTTGTAAGGACTTGAATGAGAATTAGAGATGGTGTCCGATCGTGAAAGCGACAGCTTTCTACCATTCACGCATGAAATTTTCAGTCTGTTGATCACTGGAATTAGAATATTAAAAGCTACCTTGTTTGTGAAAATTACTAAGAGAGCGACAGCAACACTTCGCCAATCTTGCACGTCTGCATCAGACTGCAGCCTACTGAGCCAAGTCAGGGTTGAACTCCAGCGCCAACCAGACATCGACGTTCTTGCCCTTTCCTCCCTGCCACTTGTGCCATGGGTAAGAGACAACATTGTTGTGTCCGCGGACGGCATCGCCATACGAGTCGCGGTACCACAGACCTCCATGCTCGTTGAGACGGGGAAGTGGGACCTTGTCGAAGTCATCCGGCCCGGCAGACTCAGGTTCCTTGCCTTCCTTGAGCCTCCACATACCTCCGGTCTCGGTTCCAGGGGAGAGACAGATGTGAATCTCCTGGAAGATATCGTTACTGTGGTTGTGAACTCCACAGTTAACATTGTGTCCTGCAGAGAACATGGTAAGCAAATTGATCAGAAACAATTTCCGCTCCTGGAACACAATTATAACTCACCAGCAGTCCAGAACTGTAGATGCGCGATCTGGGACTTGTCGTCTTGGAACCGGAAGTGGAAACCAGACATATTGGTGAAGTCAACTCCCTTGAAGTTGTCACCCCACCAAAGATCTTCAACCTTGGTGAACTTGAGGTCGGGGAACTCCAGGCCAAGTTCTTTGGTGTTGAACGTTGTCTTGACGGGGACATCCCCGGCCTTCTCCCATACGCCAGGCTCGCCGAGAGAAACGATTCTCAGGATGATGGCCCCCTTCTCTTTGTCGGCGCTGAGTTCTTTGTCTTCGCTAGAGATAGGCGCGATCCGGGGGAAGGGAGGCAAGCCGAGGGCTGTACGAGTGCCCTCGATATCAGCAACGGAGCCGTAAAGGACCTTGATGCCATCCTTCTTGCCCACAGGGATCTTTGCTCCGAGTGGGTGAATCTCGATGCTGATTGCGTAGTTTGCAACCTCGATCAGAGGGAAAGACTGTTGACTCTTGACCTCCTTAGGCCGAGCCAGATACACCAAGCCTTCGTTGTCCCACACCGTAGGTACGATGTGACGCTCAGTCACGGCGGGCTTGGGCTTGGCAAACTTATTGACGTGAAGCGTAATGACGGGCTTGGGCTCTTCGTAATACCGAGGAACATTGTACTCGACCGAGATCAAGTCAAGCTTATCAGAACCGGTGAAGTTACTACGAACGTGCCGTGTCAGTTTTATCAGCCAATCCGACACGGCCTCGGTAACTTACCCAATTGCGATGCGAGCTGATGATTCTTCTGCGATCTTCCACTTCGCGAACAATCCCTTTTCGACATCGATTGCCTTGTAGTACATGATGCCCTACAAAACATGAGCTGCTGGGGTCTTGAGAGAACCAAGTGTTGCGTTTCTACTCACCTTATTTGGGTTGGGTCCCTTCGTCGGCTGTAGAAATGGATGTCAACAACCAAGATCTTGTCATACATGCGGGGTGTCGTTTAGACTTACGACAATAGACTCCAGGTCCTTGTCGCGATCCAGAGAGCCGAACAAAGCCAGGAGGAACTCGTCGTCGCCATCGCCTACACGTAGAAAGCCCTCAGTCAGCAAGTCGTTTAAAGCGCTTATTGACAGACATAACATACCATCGAAATCGGCACAAACAATGTAGTGGCCGGGTCCGTCACCATACTTCATAAGCTGGTTGGGCGTGCCATATATATCCAGGATGTGGCGCCTCCACTGTGTATCTTTCATACCACGACCAACCTTGGACAAGACGCAGGCAGTTGTACCGTGAAAGGGGTCCAGCGTCGCAATGTAAGCAAACGGGTCGTCGCCGATCTTGCCAGCATCAGCGCAGCCAGTGCCCCAATGGTCACCAGATCCCGGCGATAGAGAGTTGGGCTGCTGTCGGTCCTCTTTCGGCTCTCCACTCGAGAGGAGCTGTCGCTTCCATGAGCCCTCTTCGTAGTAAAGCCAGTTGGCACCTTCGCGGGATGAGACCATGATAGAGTCGAGTCCAGTAGGACCATTGAATCTGTATTTTGTTTAGCTCCCGGAACTTTTGCTCCTCCCGTCGGTGTGCGAAGTTAAAAGCGTCGACCTACTTTTTAACCGTCAACTCATGAATGACGGTGAAGTTTTCATCGTCAATGATTGAGCGTTGCCATTCAGTGCTGACAACTGTTAGCATGTCACTATGTTGGTTCAAGGCAGTTGACTCACGCATTGAGGACATCCTCGGGAGCTTGGAAGCGGATGATGGGGATGGGGGTGATCTGTAGATAGTGAATTAGAGAGCAGGAACAGAACGCACTCTGCCACGGCGACGACAGACTAACCTTGTCGTGCGGTCCACAGACAACCGATGCGGCAACAATCTCCATCACAGATCTAGTCAAAGGTCAGCTCAACGAATAGCAGTCTAGATCTTGTGAAATTCCATCTTACTTTTGTGTAAAGTACCCAGCCTTCATGCGATGCATTGCAGGCCAACGGCCGATCATACGGAGTTTCCAAGGCTCTTTCCCCAAGTTCTCACGACCGGGGTTCTCAAGCCAGGAGATCCAGCCTCCCTTGGGATCACACTCAAGCATGAATGGGCCATAGTCGTGGCAGACCACAATGTCAGTCAACCCATTCCTGTTGATGTCAACGGCCACGACGGCAACTGGGCTGTCGAACTTGGCTACTTGGTACTTCTTCCATGCTGTTCATTTATGTCAGAACCATCATTCTGAAAGCAAAAGTAGCATGCCACGTACGTCCAGTGATGTCAATCTCTGATGCATAGAACTCTTCACCCTTGGCCTTGGCCTCGTGTTTGGCGGCGGCAATAGGATTATCCAGGAACTCGATTTCGCCAGAAGCCAGTCCAGATCTTAGAAAAGAGTCAGTGTCGATCGGGTACCAGACGACCAGCTGCGAGTTATTCGAAGATGGAAATTCTTACGCAACAAGTCCTGGAACTTCGTCTTCACCAAACTTAAACGTCTCGACCCAGTAGCCGTCTTTTCTATTGTCTTCAATGACAGCACGCCCGAATTCGGGCACTGGAAGGTCGATGGACGCCATTTTGTTTTCTTCAGAATCAAGATAAAGATGAAATGGTTGGGGGGAAGAAACTGCTTGGCCTCACATCCAAAAATCATAGTTGCGAAGCAAGTTTTATACTATCCGACCCAATCCAAGTCATCGTGGAGAAACTGCATGTATTCACGAACTTGACACTCGCAAAGGCATGGACTCGGTATCGCTAGCAACATAGTATTCTTCATCCCCGCAGGCCGGATCTAGAAGTAGTTGAATCAGTCTCACCATGTTGGCTTGCCGGCAGATGATGTCTTAGCTCAGCTTTTCCGCATGGCGAACAGTCGGGCGGGGTATCTGGCATGCAAGCGCCCGACGCAGGGACCGCCAAGTTCGAGACATCAACGCGGCCAAATGTTGTGTCTAGGACAAATTCGACTCCGGGGTAGGATCAGCGGGTGATGGAACGATCAGGGTCCGGTGGAGATTGCATGATTCCGGGCTCGGAACTCTCGGCGAGGTCGAGAACTTGGGGCTTGGAAGTGGCACCATGGTAGTAGGCAATATGGTGAAAGTTGGCCAATTTCATGGTCCACTTTGGGGCTGATTCTGGATCATTTCGTGAACGAAGAACGCCCGAATTCCTGAAAATATGGCCTGATCTTCGGGGAGCTGGCTATGTGTTTCCGGCTCGGATAGCTGAGGGGCCAGGCTGAAGTGGTGATAGGTATTCGCATCGCATGCAGACTTCTGTCGTAGCCTTGCCTGCGCCTCTATTTTGAATCAGATCTTTAGCGCCTCGTTGGGAACGTCCACGGATCTAGCCAGCGAATTGCGTCGACGCGCGTTCAGCCTGCTTAAGGGTCGGGTTTGCGGGTTCTTTGAACGGTGCCTGGGCACCGGCGTTGTTCCTAGATTCTCGCGTTCCCGTCTCCATTGGAACACAAGAGTCAGTCCAATAATTGCAACTTTCAAGAGACATCTGTCTCAGGAGAATTAGCCTCCGAGGCAGCCCGCGGTCCACCCCGCATTCGGGGATTCGGTACTGACAGGAGTTCAACGTGTGGACTACATGTATATTTGCGGGGTTGAGACTATTCTGGGTGAGAAAAATCACAACAGTTTATAAAATGCCCGTGATACTGGACGAATGCAAATTTGATAAATCCCTCACCTGAACCATTTACTATTCTGGGACGACTTGGCTCGACAAACTGAGTGACATGCCCGATGATCATCCTGCGATGGCTGGTTAACCACCGTGTCACACTGAAAAAGGAATGATACTGTCTCTCATGGGTTGTTCAGACGCCACTACTTCAGGAAAGTTCAGTGAGATGAACATTGGACTATCATCTCAACATTTTCCAGGAATGAAAACGGCAGAAGTGGGGAGTAAACGAACATCCTGCCAAGTCTCGATCGTAGAGCAAGGAATCTCATGTTTCTGGCTCGTGAGATCCTGTCTTCGTCTGTGCATTGACATCTCCGCAATAACCGTGAGCAAGAAGGGTCAATTCGGACATTACCACCATATAAGACGTGAGCCGTGAACCCAAAAAGCATCAATCATCCAGCTCAATTAACGTACTCCCCTTGAGTCTTCCTTCCCACTACCATCGCTAATACCTTGTTTTGACACCTACATCTTAATCATAATTTTCAAAATGGGCGGCGGAGACGTCTCAGCTACCAAACTTCGAGATCACTTCATCTTCAAGAAGGCCGACGACTTCTTCCAGGATGAGATTGATGGCCAGGGCTCTGGCATAAAACAGCCCAAGTCGGTGTCTTACAGCGATGCCGACCAAAAGCTCCCTGACGGCAAGCTCAACCCAGCGTGTAGCCATGGAAGAATCTTCAGGTTCAATGATGGATCTCTGCTTCTTGTTCAGTTCTTGAGGCCAAGAGTATGGAGAATTCGCTTTGATCCGCATAACACAGAGCCATCTCACTTTTCGGACTACAACACGTAAGTCTTCTAAGTTGTCTTATCATTTGGCGTAGAGTACCGCAAGAGAACGTGTCCTCTAACCATCCATTGTAGCCGTACTCTCATCCGAGATACCACCACCGAGCTGATTAGCATCTTGGACAAGTGCGAAGAGCTTGCATGGCAGGTTGAGCTGATTGAAGATGATCAATACTACATTTTGCAGTCGGTCGTTCAGCGGGACCCCAATGCCCCCCCTGAGAAGGAGGTTCAGCTTTGGATTTCTCGCAACCCTTTCCAAATCACCGCAGTTCGTCTTTTGAAGAGCCTTGCTCCCGCCGAGGCGAGACCTGTGCCACAGACGTTCGAGAAGGATGTCGTCGAAAGCCTCACTCTTCCTGTGAACGAAGGTTTCCGCCCTGCTGTGATCTGGAAGACGAAGCCGCGGGGTCTGCTTTATGGCGAGCACTCTGCTATCTTGTGCCTCGACAAGTCCATCACGGCTGATTACATGGGCTTTGGCGAGCAAGGTGGCAAGGATCTCTTCAAGAAAAAGACGTATATGAACTACTTCAGTAAGCCCACCGAATTTCTTGCGTGGACTTCCACATCTCAGTACATCGTGTAGCTAACAAAATCCTCGCGCACAGACTTTGACAATATGAGGTACCAGAACGTCTATGGCGTCGGCCCCTTGGATGATCGTGAGCCTCTCTATCACTCAGAACCCTACTGGATTGAGGTGGACGCCCAGCCGGGGTACCAAACCCAGATCGGAACCTTCATCGACAACTACTCCCAGATCTGTGTGGACATTGGCATGAAGGACCCAACTCAGCTACGTGTGGCGACGCGTTTCAACAGTTTCCAGGGCATCTTCTTCGCCGGAGACAGCATTCAGGAAGTCATTCAGCTGTACACCTCCGTCGTCGGCAAGCCGAAGCTCAAGCCCCGATACGTCCTGGGTTACCATCAGGGGTGTTACGGCTATGACACGCAAGAGATGGTTTTGGATGCCGTCCATCGATACCGACAGGCCAACTTCCCAATTGATGGTATGCATATTGATGTCGACATGCAGGACGATTACCGCACCTTCACCATCGACAAGCGCCCGGGTCACTTCCCTAACCCGGAGTGGATGTTTTCTGAGTTGCGCAGGCTCGGTGTCAAGTGCAGCACCAACATCACGCCATACATCAGCAACGTCCCCTCTAGCTCATACAACACGTTGAATGAAGGCCTCCAGAACCAATACTTCCTCAAGGATGAGCGAGAGCTGGATCCTTCAGCCCCTGGCGCTCTCGAGCAGCGGTATATCCAGTACGGCACCAGCAACCTCTACTTCACCAACCCCAACACGGACAAGCCTGACTACTGGGATGGAGATGACTACACCTTCTCCAACAGCTTCAACAAGAGTGTACCATTCCATGGCGGCGTCTACTACGGCTGGAAGAACGGCCACCCTGGACACTACCCCAACTTGAACAACAAGGCCGTCCGTTACTGGTGGGGCAAGCAGTACGAGTATCTTTTCGAAACCGGCCTGGACTTTGTCTGGCAGGACATGACCCAGCCCTGCATTGCCGAGCAGTATGGTGATATGAAATCGTAAGTTGAAATGACTCCCCTTTTGTCCATGGGCTCACTCTGATCTGTTTCTCCCTCCACAGCTTGCCCTTCCGCTTGCTCTTGGACTCTGATGGGTGGTCCGGCGATCCCAAGGCCGCCGACAAGAAGAAGGCCATTGAGATCTGGTCCTTGTACAGCTACAACTTGCACAAGGCCACCTACCACGGCCTCAACCACTTGCACATGAAGACCAAGGACAAGAAGAACGAGAAGCTCGCGTGGCGCGAGAACCGACGCAACTTCATCATCGGACGCGGCAGCTTCGCCGGTAGCCACCGCTTCGCTGGGCTCTGGACTGGTGACAACTCGTCGACCTGGGAGTTCCTTCGCATTTCTGTTGCGCAGGTCCTCGCTCTGGGACTGTCCGGCGTCACTATTTCAGGTGCTGATGTCGGTGGATTCGAGTTCATCGAGTCTGAGAGGAACTACCCCAACCCGGAGCTGATTATTCGCTGGTACGGGGCCTACTCCCTTCTGCCCTGGTTCCGGTAAGTTTTGTGCCCCAATCTCAATTCTATATGCCCGCTAATATCTCCAGAAACCACTACACAAGGTTCCGAACCTGGATCGACGGTCCTAACCAGGGCGAGATGAGGAAGGACGGCAAGTGGTTCCAGGAGCCTTATGCCTATCAGTTGCACTACGAGCAACACAAGGATCAGTTCCAGGGTCGTGAGGCCGAGATTTACCGAGCAGTATTGCCGACTTGCCGCTACTTGATCCGTCTTCGTTACTCGCTCATGCAGTTGCTCTACGATGCCATGTTCGAGAACATGATCAACGGTCTGCCGATTGCTAGAGCCATGGTGAGTACCTGTCATCGGCATCACAATCTAATAGATGCCTGGACTAACTTGTAACTTATAGCCTGTCACCGACCATCTCGACCGCTCTCTATTCAGCGCCGATGTATGCTACCTTTTGACGTCGTCCATCGCGATCGCCACCTGCTAACGTCTTCGCAGAACCGTCGCTTCACCAGCTCCCAGTACATGGTCCGGAAGGATCTCCTGGTCGCCCCCGCTCTGGTCGGGGAGGATGCGCGCAAGAAGAAGTCGAGAAAGGTCTACCTGCCGTACCCTGACTCCTGGTACCCCTTGAACCTGCGCCCTGACGACCCTCTCGGCGTCCCTCTCGGCCCCGCTGCCTCTGGTGGCCAACGCATCGAGTACGACTGCCGCATCTCCGACGACGAGCGCCAACTCCCGTACTCGACTCCCATGTATGTCCGCGAAGGTCAGTTATTATCACCTCTTGTCAACCTTTTCTTTAGAGACACCTTTAACTGACAAACCACTCAGGTGCCATCATCCCCAAGGTCGGCGTCAGGGACTACGTTGCTGATCCCAGCACAACCCCTCAAAACGCCAATCCCATCACCGTCCACGTCTACCCAGGAAAGGACAACGTAAGTACTTGGATCCCCGCTGCTCTCGAGACTCGTTCCAACTGAAATGCCTGCAGATCTACGACATGTATCTTGACGACGGCATCTCCAGGGACAGCGCGCCGAAGAACTCCACGTTGGAGACCGCTGTTGGCGCGCGTCCTTGGTACGGCGAGGCCCATCACTACGACGGTCTTGCCGATGCCCAGGCCAACGACAACTACACAAAGGTCCAGATCAAGCAGGTATGTCGCATCCATCTCGTTCCGTGACCCTACAGGACAGGGAAATTGCCATCCGGGAACAAACATGTTGACTATCACTGTAGTTCACCCAGAAGAGGCTCTCGGACCAAGAGGACTACGGAAAGTACACCCGGAGACTCACAGCCAACGCGCCTCATAATAAGTTTGGTGCCGAGGCGTCAAAGTACATTGGCACAGACTACACCTTTGTCTTTTGGCACCGCGGAGAGAGTAACCTGGACTCCATTCAAGTCAACGTCACGGGCGCGGACCT